ACCCTCCTGCTTTTCCCTTCTCTTTCTCCCTCCTTCCGTCCTATCATAGCAAGATTCTTTTTAGGGAAGAGTTCTTTCTTGAGCAGAGCACCCAAGCGCTTTAAGCACCCTGAGACATCCCTCTTTGGCACCCTGTTCCTGCCTAATTTCTGCAAAAAACCTGGCCCAGGATTTATCCTTGCAGCAGCCACCCAGATGCCCCTGGGAAATCTACAAGCAAAGCGTAAATGAACCGACACCCGCTTGCTTATGTCTGCCTCTGATTGTGGAAGAGTTGAGAGTAGATGTCATTATTAATAGCCTGTTCCCAACACAATTGCTGCATCTTGTGGCGGGGCGTTCCGTCACAAGTCAGGCATCGCAAATGGCTCTGGGCCATAATCCTTTGCACAGATGGACCCTTCTGGGAATTGTGGAAGGGAGGATGTGTACATTGCTGTCATGTAATTCACAAGTGCCAACTCCCCGGATTCCCTTGGTTTGGTGTTAGCTAAACTCTATCTCTCCTTGATTTCTACAGATGACTGAATAAGTGTGTCAACCTCAGTAACCTGAAGATGTGTGGACTTCATCTCCCAGAATTCCGGCTGGGGAATTCTGGGAGATGAAGTCCACACATCTTAACATTAATAAGATTGAGAAACCCTGGTGTAAAAGAATGAATGTATCCTTCCACCATCCCTTGCAGCTCCCCTCCCCTCAGTTTGGAACAAGACTTGGCGCGCTGTCCATCCGTCCATCCATCCGTCCGTCCGTCCATCCCTTTACTGGATCTGTAAGACTGCCCAACTGAAACTGCATGACTCTGGGTGTTGCACAACAACAACTAAACAAGCAATAAACCAAAAAAGAACCACAATGTTATGCAATACATAAATGTAACAGGTCCTGTTGCATGATTCTGGGCAGTCCCTCAAAGTCCCCTGAAAAAAACGGATATTTTTCTCCCTTTTTAATGAAGGAACAAAACAGAAATATACGACCAACTTCGAAAGAGAAATAAACCAGAAACAAAATGGAAAGGAGGGAAAAAAGAGTTTGTGCTTCATATTTTTCGTGATCTCTTACCTTGAATGTTGCCAGAGTGGGCATTCATCCCAACCCCTTAAAACAGTGTTTCTCAACCTTGACAACTTTAAGATGCCTGGACTTCAACTCCCAGAATTCCCCAGCCAGCCATGCTGGCTGGGGAATTCTGG